CTCAGCTTCCCCAAGCTGAATGCTGTAGCTGTCCTTTACTGTTAATCTAGGTACTGCACAAGGCCGTGCTTTTATCTGCTCATCTGCGTTAAGCCAGCGTGTGCTGGTGACACTGCAGACCACCGCCAGCGCACCTCCTTGCCTTGCACAGGCGTTAAGGGTGACATAGAGAGCAGGCAAATGTCTCATTCAATTCAATTCTGCTATTTTCATGGGCTGTTAAAGCAAGCTTGAGAAAGCAAGCGCTGTTTTCAGGAAGATTGTCCTCTCCTCCCAAGTGCCATGCACTCTACGGCCAAAATGAGACTTCCAGGCTCCACACTCTCCTTCCACAAGGCTTCAGGCAGGTAAGGTTGAGGCCAATCTCTGTGAGTACTGCTGCAGATGCAACACATCTTGTACAAATATTTAATGAAAAGTGCATTAAAGGAGTACAAGAGGGAAGTTAAGTATTCTCAGAACAATTTAAGTATTGTCAGAACACATAAAATACCAGCTTAAAAGCACCATTATATCACCAGATGCATTGGTGCCGTCATGAGAAAACTAAATATTGAAATAAGTGGAGCGACACACGCTCACTACTGGAAGATCTGTCCCAGGCTGATCTATTTCAGCTGAGCAAAACACAGAAAGGAGTATTGTAGAGGCAAACAAACAGGTTTGGATTAGATGACCAGGCAGCTCACTCCTGGTATTACATTCCTTACAGCAGACAAAGGCCCCAGTACCCAGTGAACGCCAGCGCTGGGCAGCAAGCCGCCCTGGCACACACTATGGATAAAGCAGCCCTGCCACTTCTCACCAACAGGGTTACAGGTTACACACAGTCAAAGGCTCAGCAATTAAGTACGTGTTGGCATGACCTGCAGATGCTGCAGAAGAATGGCCACATCTGGATGTGGAATGCTTCTGCTGAGCACACCTCCTGCATACCCCTGGGGTGGAAAAGGACTTACCCTTACCTCCAGTGCCCACCTGTAGCACAGTCTGCAGCTACTTGTTTGGTGAAGGAGCTCAGGCAGATCAGAGTTCATACTCCTACAAACAGTCTCGTATCACCCGTACCCTCCTGCAGTTGCAGCATCGTAGAAAGGTTGCTTTCTCATCCCTTAAATTAACCACGATTACAGTGACAGATGTACTTACAAAGATCTAACAAAAAATATACATACACTCTCCAATACATCAACAAGATTATTTAAAACAAAAGTATGTTCCTTGGGCTTCAAAAGCAGTGAGAAACAAAACACATCCACCTCCCCCCCAGTGACGAGACTTGAGGTGACTACGAATCTGTCAAAAAGTACTAACTCACCTTGTTCCAAGAAATCAGGTGTAGTTTTGATAGATAAGTTACTAAAATTTGTAAGAAATGTTAGCACAAAGCATTTTTAGGTTTATTTAAATAAAAATTATAATTTATACAAGACTTTTTAAACAAACAAGATTTTCTTAAAAAATGTACAGGGCAAATCATTTCATTATTTCAATTCTTCGTACAGTATAAGTCTTTTGTCAAACAAAAGTTGCACTGATAATGAATTATTTACAACTTCAAAATATAGACTCAAACTTCAGACATAAAAATTTTAACATCCATTATATTTCAATGATTAGTAGAAATTAAACATCTGCCAAAATGTACAGAATTCAATAAAAATTACCAGTGTTTTTAATACAAGTAGCCAAAAAAAGTATATCCTTTCATCTCTTCACGACTGGGTAAAACCTCTTTTCTCTTTGTCTGCATGAACAATGTTAGCATTTTGCTGCTGGCGTCCTGTGTGACGTTGCTACTAATAAATAGCTTGTTTCATTCAATCTTGCCTCAGAAAAGCTATAGTGCACAGAAAGGCATGATTTCATATTTCAGCATTTTTTGCCTTTTGAATTTAAATGGTTATCGATGAAGAATTAAAGCAGTCAGTTTTCATCTCCCTTTTTTCCTCTTTAAAAGGGACTCAAACTAACCAATGCACTTCCAAAGAAGGTAAATCCAATTATGTGTGAATGATCCAGCAATGAACCACAGAAATCAACAGAACTGCAATTATAAACAGCAAACAGACAGAACGATGAGAACATCACTTTCTGCTATTAGAAAGTAGCACTTTACATTAAGTGGTACGACCCAGCCTGTTACTGAAGTAGAGCAGGCTACACTGCAAAACTATGCAGGAAGATTGGAATTTAAGGTGAGAGCTTCAGTCTAATTATACAACTCAAGTATATATTTACTCACTGTCCATCCCCTCCTGCCCTCTGAACTTGGGAGGGCGTAGAAGGAGGAAAAGCATGAGTAAACACACCGAGGTTACCTTCTAGTGTCTCTGAAGTCACGTATGTCACAGGAGCAGTTATGTAGCAGGAACCTGGGCAACTCAATGTAAAGTGAACTTTGCAAAATATGTACACAGATGTTTGTCAGTTATATTACAACTCTATTTAAAAAAAAAAATCCAGTCCGTTTTATATATATTAGAATGAAACAATGTTGCATTGCAGTTTGCACTAGGTTTACTGCTTTAAGAATCCCTAACTTTTAAGTTCATATTGTTAAAGTGCGGATTAATTTCAAACGTCACCACATTAGATTTTATAAGAAGTTTCTGATTTCTTTGTCCAGAAAAAAAAATATTTAAGAGCATACTGTATGCATGAGGCATTTCAGTCTGGGAAAAGGATAATGATTTCTCTTCTCCCTCTCCAAAGCCTAGGTATGTTTAATTGTCCTGGCACCATCAGCGTAGGACCTATAGCTCCTCCAGGAACCAGAACCTAGGACTACCCTATATACTAGGGTCAACCAGTGAAGGGTGGGAGGGGGAGGAGGTAATAAGTGCAAGTCAACTGATTTCCTACTGAAACTGCTGTTATGATCAGAGTGAAGGTATAAATTACACTTGAAAAATGATACAAAAATAAGAAAAAGAGCATGCTCTCTGTAAAAAATATAGTTTTCAGTTTCTTCAAAAAAAAGGATAACCTTAAACACACCAAAGGGATTTTTTCATAAGACAAAATGAATGAATCTGATTAAGATTTACATAACATTAAGCGATTTTAATGCCTATTTGTTAGCCACACTTACTATTCAAGGAAGCTTCTAGAAAGGAAAGCCAAATGATAATACACAACAATTACAAAAAGAGATAAATTGATTTTAAAGTAGGTTTGATGAGAAAAATTTAAGATCAAGAATTTTTACTTAAACATAAAACCTGAATGTGTGAAGTGAAGAAACCATAAACTGTCAAGCTACATCCCTATTAGGTGGTGGCAAAATGGATTTCCCACGCCAGCTTCACTTATATTTTAAGTTTTCAGGCCCTGAGTTACATCATACCTAAGGAGGTTTTAGAAATGTACCTCTTTTTCAGGTCACGTAAAGACACGTGCAAGTGCTACTCTAAAGGGAGAACTCAAAAATAGCATTTTAGCCATTATGGTGGACTCTCCTCCGTTCTTGTTCACGTTTCCACCCAGGGCACAGACTTTTACCCCATCAGTGTTTCACTTTACAATACCCAACCAAATCAAAGTATTCAACAGTATTTCTTCATATCAAGTTCATATCAAGTGCTTCACAGCATACCTCTTCATGGTCAGACTGAAATAAGGTTTGTACAGTTTGACTGTCACCTTCTTCATTACTGCTGCATTTGTTGAGAGGCTTTAACTAAAAACTGTGCTAAGAGTTAAACACCCTTTGGTGTTTGTCTCCCCTCTCCCTCCTTCATTTTACCTCTATAAAGAAAGAAAATTTTTTTTTTTTTTTTTTTAAAAAAAACAGATCTCGATGAAATTAACTCCCATTTTTACATAAGAATTTACATCTCCATTACTTTTCTTGGGGGACATTCATACAATGGCTGGAGACAGCCATACTACTCAACTCAAAAGAGATAGCAAAGGAAAAGACATACTGGAAGGCGTGGCATAACTCCTACTGTGCTTTCATGAAAATGCAAATAAAATTCTAAACCTCTCAGATAGGTGCTATTACCTAGAGTATAAAAGCTTTCTAATATTAAAGACAAAGGTCAGTATGTGCTTTGCTGCTAGACAGGTCTGAGAGAGTTTAGAGGAGCACAGCCTTCCTGTTTTACCTGGCAGTGAGGTTTAATTGTTAGTAAAATTTAATTTTGCAAGGAGAAAGACAGCAACATATCAATGCCCCTCAAATTATGCTTTGAAAAGGAACCAGTGCTTTCAGCTGCTGCATTACAGTGTTATTTTATTACAAGGTAACCCAAGAGAAAAGCCAAATTAAAAAAAAAGTAATTTCTCAGTTTAATTATTCCCACCTCCCCCAACACAAAAAGCCTGCAAGTCTTTAATGCATTAACATACAAACAACTTGTACATACAACATGTACAATAGTTGAGCCCTTCTATGAAAGTATCTACAGAAATACAAATATATGATGCCTAACATTTTAGGAACAACATTTTGGTGCCCTCTTTTATAAAAAGTATCTGCCTGCCTTCCTTCCTCTTACTTTAGTTAATTAGGAAAGGAAGATATAGTTACAAACTTTTTCCTCCAATTCAAGTAATTTAAACATCTGTATGCAGGAAAAATTGAACCTAACCAAAATGGTAAAATATCCTTCTTCAATGCAAGAATTAGCAAGAAGGAGTTATTTTAAATGCAGCTATAAATCTGGAAATACTAAGATGCTAATACTTCCTTGGTGTTGCTATTAGTTTTAATAAAGACCCCAATTAAAAACTCTGAGCCGAAGAAAGAGACTTCAGGCTGCTGCAGTCATCATTCTCATTCTCACATCTTGGAGAAAAAAAACTTAAAATAAAGGGACAAATGCATCCCTAGTAATATCAGTGGAGTTAAAGGGATCAACATGTTTCACTTCATTATTTAGACAGTTCTCCAAGTATCTTCCCAACTTTTAATGTCAGTAAATAAACATTAAAAGTGCTTAATGTGCAAGGCTAATAGTGATGATAGCACTTTCACTGTTTTGTTTCATTTTGTTTTTTGTTTTTTTTCTTACAAAAACCTTAAAAACAAACATGAAGGCATATATAAAATACACTTGATTTATGTAACAGATAGAATATAAACCACCAGACAAGAAAAATTATTGCGAAACAGATGAGGATGTTCATTTTTTTCACTACCAAGTTGTAAAATAAGAAAGTTTCCTTTAGATCTTCTAAGACAAGATACTAGCTCTCACTGCTTGATGATGCAGAGGTTATTTTCACATACTGGTTGAAAATTGTCTCAAAAGCTTCATCTCTGTGTACCATGGCACCAAACACCAAAGGCTAAATGACAGAAAAAAAACACATCATGTCAGTCCAGAAAAGAAAAATCTTCCCCTAGGTATAGTTGGCCAAGTCAATAGGAACAGGAGATGAACTGTACTCAAAGTGCGTTAATAATGACACAAGAATCCTTTTCTCTACTAAATCCTTGGATATATGGCTGAGTTTCTAATATTTTTCACTTCTTCATCTTCTTCCTAAACCAACCATGGCATAAAATGCACCTGTACAGACTATGAGCAACAGAGAACACTGTAAGGCACTTTCCTCTCCATCTGTTCGGTGCATGACTTTTTCCTGACTGACCTCTGCCTTCATTAAAGATTTCTAAAAATCCTTATCAGTGCCTCTTTGTTTTGGCTCATAGAATATCTATTTAGATAGATCAACATTTTCAACCTCGTAATTCAGAAGTACCTCTCAATATCATACAGCGAGCAGGAAACCTGGTACAACAGTCTCATGACTTGGCAAAAAGTTATAAGTAAGTGACTAGTTTAAAATAAGGTTCAGTCATATGTTAAGAAAAGCTTCTATTTGAGGCTTAGAGAAGCTTAAATCTTCAGCATCAGAAGACTGGAACAGGAAAATTTCATCTGAGGGTCAGGCCCTTCCACCCCAAAGCCTCCTCACCCACAGATACTCTCTATCCATCAACTTTTTGCTTCAGACTGCACAGCCTCCATGCTCCTGATGAAGGATGCTGGGGAACGGTCAATGGAATTCATGAAATAATGGAGCAGAAAGGATGGAGAAAATATTTCTGCAGTTTTACAGTAAAATAGTCCAGATGCAGTAGAACAAGCTCAATGTTTAATTCATTAAAATTCTGAAGACAAATATACTGAATAATAGAGAAGGGAATTTAAAAAAAAGAAAGAGCTAAACACTGGCATAAGGAAAAAAAAAGCCTTTATGCTGGTGCCAGCCAGAGAAGGAGGAAAAGGGCATGAAGTCAAACATAGCACTACAGACACAGTCAGCTACTTACTTTTTGTGTAGATGGTGTCGATACAGCAATACCCATCCCTGATCCCGGGAGAACAGAGAGCACTTTATACTAAAAAGAAAAAAAAAAAACACAAATGAAAGGTATCTTTGGTACTGAACAACTGCAAAAGGTGCTGAGGAGGTTACACAGCTCGTCACTGGTATGTCCTCCCAGCTACAACTAACAGATCTCTATTAAAAATGAGAAGAGGCCAGATGGTGTTCTCGGACCTGGGAGTTAATGGGTACAGCATCATCCACAAAGCGAGAACCTGCCTCTCCTCTTCCTCCCACGCACCACGGCAGCACCCAGCCTGCCTCCCAGAACCAGCCCTGGCCCCAAACTGAGCACTCTGTCACCGCTACATGTGTGGGAGCTGGCCCAGCCGCGATGCCAGGGACCACACCGGCAGCTGGATGGGATGGTGCGGGCAGGTAGCACACCCCAGCCCTACCTGTACGTGCGAGTGTGCCTGTGAGTATCACCTAGAGGTTTCCCTAGAAGTAACATTCATCCACTGTTTAAAGGAGCAGCAAGCAGACCAGAAAAAGCTTCTTTTTCAAAATTAAATAGACAAAGACGGTATGTATAGGTTGGTTGTTTCTTTTTTTGAAAGAAAGTCCAGAAGGATAAGAAGGAATACAGTTGGTTGAACTGGGGAACATCCCCAAGGAGGAAGAGACTCTGAGTCTGACCTGTGTTTCCCATCTCCAAATAAAACCAGGCACAGTACATTTTTATGCTTGGCTGCATGATCCCTGTCTCATCTTCATTAAAAAAACTACACAGATGCAAATGGACCTTTATGACAGTAAAGACATACTAAACAACGAGCCAGCATTACTTCAAGTATGGTGTTTAAAATTCATCAATATGAATTATTAATTCCAACAGGAATGTTCAAGTTGAGCATAAGTTGTCTGCTTTACAGACATGTGATATAAATAGAAGGAATTAATTTGAAAATCTGGAAATACTTAAGCAGTAGACACTGGGGCTGAGGTGTTTCTTTGCCCAGCATGATTTAATCTGTGGCACTCAGTTCCTCAGGATGTAGTAGAAAGCAGGGGTGTCTGTATTTAAGAGTGGGACAAGTTCAGAGAGAGTAATAAAGTGACATTAAATGCCATATAGAGTGATGCAAAGCACCAATAAAGCCATTGGTGACTGCAGGCTGATAAAACTCAACCAGAGGAAGGATGACATCGTACTTGCCATGCTTCCAACCATGCACTTCTTGCCTCTATTAGTGATGAGATCCCAACTGGATGAAACTCCAACCCAATTCAGTCTAGCTACTCTAATGATTTACTTTTCTCCACTGACAATAACCCTTCCTCCCTCTGAGGTACCTACTTTTAAGATGGTGCATCTACTGATATCAACACCCAAACTGAAGTTAATATTACACAATTCCTGCTACCAATAAATCTTCTTAAAGCCTACACAGCTCTATTCAACGTGGGAGTTAAGAAACAACACAACTTTAATTTTACAATAATTCAGGAGTGTAAGTGTTTAGTAAACTACTTTGTCTTCATGCTCATAGCAACTTTGCTTGTAGTGAGTCCAACTGGCTCAACCAAGCAGTTCTGGGAAATACTCTTGATCAAAGAATTATATTTTACTTATAAAAATTATCAATGGTATGCTTTTTTAAGATAACCTAAACAGAAAAACAAAACATGACTAGCTGAACAGAAAACCAGCTTTCTCCTCTATTTGCAACACAAAACAGACATACCTTCTGAATATCTGTTATATCCGTTAGCTTTATAACTTTATTTCTTTTAGATGAGCCAGATTTGGAGCTTTCAAAGCACAAGTAACTGAAGACAAGGAAAGAAAATGGTCATTTTGATACAGTATTCTAAAACAAAGCTCTCAATACCCCTCCCGTCACTTCTGAAGTTTGAAATCTCAGTTAAAATCAGCTTAACAACAACAACAAAAAAACCAAACAAACAAACAAAACAAAAAAAAAAGAGGTGCACAACATGCAATTCAGCTATGCCTTCTAATTTAGAACAAACATTTGTAAATTCTAGCAACTGGCTAACGTGTCTGAAAGCCCAGAGCATACAGTATGCACACACACACACAAAAATCTTGTATTTATATTACTGCACTGAATGGTTAAACCTGACAAGCATTTTAATGACACATGAAGCACGTATATCCTTAAACAGTTGAAACACCAAATCTCAAGAGGCTTATAAATCTTTTACCATCCTAAAAGAAGATTAATGAAAAACACTGCGTTAGTTTCCTGTTATTGTGATGCGGACAAAAGCTCAGATTTCTAAACACTGGAGAGCGCTCTCCATCACTAGGTGACATTGCATACAGATGAGCTTTACTTCCATTCATTACACTCCAAAGGAATTTCAGTGCAAGACCTAAACAGTAGTGATGATAGTTATTCAGCCCTGGGAGGTTGGGGGTAAGGATTAAAAAAAATAAAAATCAAGTACTAGTTCTGAAACAAAGACCTGATTTTCTATTTTCTTTTTGTTGCACATTGTTTCAAGGAAGGTATACCTTAAATTTGCTTTAAAACAAGAAACTAAGAATATTTGCCAGATAACCATTGATCACAACTCTCAAAGTACACTTAGCTTTTACGTTTCTTTTTTAGTATATACATAGTTAATATGTGATCCAGATCAAGAACTGCAGCTACTAACAACTGACTACACAGAGTTACTCTCCATTCCTATGCAAGCCTTTCCAAGGCAAAATAACATTTGCTATGTGTTACCACGTCGCAGATTCACCTCTCCCTCTCCTATGGTGCTTTCTTGAGGTTTAAAGCACAATGAAAAGGCATTTTTGTTCCAAAACATTGTTAAAGGATTACTTTTAGATTCCTGTTTTTTAACGTCTGTTGCATTTCCCTCCTAAGAAATGAGTGGAAAGCAGTAACTCACTTTTCTGTGACATAAAGAACTCCATTTCTGATGTAGTCTGTAGGCATCTTCCTATCTCTGTTAATTAAGCAACAGCGCCAGCCATTTTCACACACTGAAAAAGTCATAACAAGAAATCTTACTTCAAGAAGTAGATAGACAAGCATTACCCCCAAGAGTTTCCTTATAAAACAGCAGAAAACACTGAAAATTAAACTTTAGATACCTAAAACTAGAAGCATTTACAAAGAAACACCTAAATAAGGTGTTTCTAGACATCATAACATCTGTTTTAACATTGGTTTTAAAAAAATCCAAAACAAAAACCATCCACACAATTATTCCCTTTAACTTGACTATGCCATTTGCATTACCACAAAACGCACACCAGGCTGCGCATTCTTTCAAAGAACTGCAAGGAAGTGGAATGAAAGAGACTGTCTCCATCCATCCTATTTAAAGCAAGTCTTTTAATCAAAAGCTTATACCTGTGCGTTTCCCAGAAAGGGAATTCAACTTTAAACTATCCTTGGCTTATTAGAAAATACTCCACTAACGTAGCCTTCCTGTTGCATAATACCTGCCAAAGGACGCTCATTTTCCGACAGGTTAAAAACTTCATGGAAATTCCCCCTCTTGGTGGTATGAAAACGACTTGTCTCTTCATCTTTGCTTATTCCAGTTGGGGCACTTGAGCCCACATAACTTCTGGATGCTGCTGTTTGGAGCTGCAGAAAAATAAACACGATTCCAAAATTTGAACAACAACATTTAAGCTGCGCTCCTAAAAATAACACAGCTAACTACTCTTCCTAAAAAAAAAAAAAAAAAATAAAAAAATATCTGTAATGCAATCATTGTCATTAACTACTTCAATAAAGTTAACTTTGGACTATTGTACTATACTATTGCTATAGAACAAAACTGTAATGTGCTATCTGAACATAAACTTCCAAAGTGCTGCCCTTTGATGGACACCCTTTGCAGGGTTGAAAGCACATGGTGCTAAATGCACCTGTCTTAAAATACTATTTTTCTACAGTAAAGGGTATATCTGATTAGATACAGCGAAGTCACTGCACACAGCTCCAATTGTCATACCAGTAGGACTACTAACAGTTAATATATTATCAGTACTTGGCTTGTCTTCAAGAGACAGACCAAGCACAAAGTATTATCGCACACAATAATTTTAGAAAGAAAAAAGAGCAAACAAAGAAAAAACCACACAGAACTGCATAAGCTCATTATGAATAAGAATGCTGAAATTGAAAGGAAGTTTTCCACACTAGGATCCATACCTTTTCATGCCCTGACAGCTAGCAGGAAAAGAAACAAACAACACAAATGTGACAGTGACAAAAGAAAAAAAAGTGAAGTCTATTTAACAGTATAATACATAGAATAAAACATGAACTGAGTGACACTGCAAGATCTTACTAACTACACACAATGAAGGCAATTAAAAAAAAAAGAAGTTATCAGCGGTTAGAGCACACCAGTTCAATTTATTCGGGTTGTGTTGGAGCCATTGATCTTTCCTTTGCTTTGAAGTTGCACTGAATTTTGGGAGTGTTGACACGTGAAACAAAATCAGAACGGTTGTCAGCACCCTTGGCGGGGGGGGGAAAGGTAGCATGGAGTTCTCGGAACCAAAGTACTTGAGTAAAATCTACTTTTAAACAGAGCTCCTGAACCACTGGAGACTGCCCTAGCAAACAAGCCTTACTTATGGAAGGACGGCAGGCAGTTTCTTTCGGAAAGTTTGCCTGCATTTGCTTTTTCATCTTGGTGGGGCACCACACAATTCCAAAGGCTGGCTTTTGTCATCGAAGCATTAACACCTCCGTTCTTAGCCCTACCATACACATGCAGTTAAACAACTGGCAAACTGACAACATGCAAGCTCAGGACTATGCCCTTCTGTAAAGGCTTGATATTGTCGGAGGCCAACCAGCCTCCACTACTTTTTTTGGCACGTAAGTTGGCAGCACTCGACACTTCGCAGGGTTTAGTGCTAACAAAAGAAATCCGAAGCAAATGAAAAAAAATGCACACTGCAATTGCTGACTAGAGACCAGACTGACAAAACAGGCACAGCAGAGGGTATTTACCATCCAGCTTTTAGGGTAACTGTAATACAACGATGCCTCGGGGGAAAAGAATAAAGAAAGTTGACATGGAAAGCAAACGGTTGATAAGTGTTCTATTGCTTCAGTTACTGCCCTTCTGCAGTGCCCTGAGCAATGACCGAGCCCCTGGAACCAAGGAAAATAATAGCTTCTCCAACAATTTGTGTGCAAGTAAAGATCAGATGAATTTTTTGAAGGTTTTCTTGGACAAGTTATTTGGCTCCATATGCACGTAACTAGGTGAAGCCCCATGGCCCAAAACATAAAAAAACGTCAGGGCAAGAGGTCTAATACTTTTTGCGTTGGAATGAGGATTATTCCTGCTCTCTGCTACACTGCTACCTTCCTACCTGTTACATAAAGAGATTTAAAAAAGGCATTTAAACTTCAGTACCATATCCCATCTGGTGGGTGAAGATGTGAGAAAGTTCTGCCCTCACTTCTAGTCCCTCTTAACACAAGGAAATGTTTACTCTACCCTTAAAAGAAGCAGCTAATTTATCTATAACCATCCAGGCTTGAGACAACCTATGGTCGATTACTAAAAGAAAAGCATCGCATCCAATTTTGATAAGTTTTAAATCTAACTGGAAGTGATTCAATTTGTAATGCTGAAAGAGTCACAACTGTCTAAAAACGTCACCAACAACCTGGAGATAGGAATACCTAGAGGTATTCCTTTTCACTTCATCTGTCATCAGCTTTTGACATACAAACTTTACCCATCAGATATTGTTGTCAGGATTGTTCTCTAAGGACATCGGGTCAGAGTGGTGGTACAGGCAATGAATATTACATTGTGTCTAGGTTGATGGTGTCTTGTATGCTGTTTAATGATAAGAAGCCAAAGCAAATGCACATATGCTGGCACTACATGCTTTTGGGCTCTGCCTTTTCTATGAAAAAAAATGAAAAACCTATTTGGTTTTCACCTTTTTGTACAAAAATCTATTTTTTATACTACAATGTTCCCAGAAATCTTCCAAGGGGTAAGAAAGTTTGTCTAAAATTATTAAGACCAAGTTAATGTTTTCAAAGACATTTGGAAGCAGATAATGCAGTTCTGCACATCCTTTACAGGCAGACAAGACAAGCCCATCAACTCAGACACAGCAGCACTAAAAATCCTGGTCACTTGTCAAAACTTAAGCCATAAAGAAAAACCAGAAGGGATAATTACTCTCTAAGTTTATGGATTCAAGTTCAGCAATTCAGAGCCTTTCCACCTCCGGGGCAGATTAGGAGACCCAGCAAAAAGCTGCCACAACTGCCACAGTATGTGCAAGATAACCTGTAAAGTCTAAAGGCACAGAAACTTTTAAACCTCTTTTCTGCAAGCAAGAGAAACACTGGCTGTGGACAGCTCTGTCCAAGCACTTATTCGCCTCTCTCGTCCCTTGCAAAACACCAGCAAAAGACTCACTTTCTGTCAGAGACTGTCCTTCTCTTCTACCTCCTTCTGAAATACTCAGATTACGCTGCAGTTATTTTACCACTAACTGCTCCATCGCCCCCAGAACCCCGTATTTTCTCTTCTTCATAGGTTAATAACCGAGGGTTCAGGTGTTTATCCCTTTTGCTCTCCAGTTGTGTACCCAGGCTGAATCATTGCTAAGTGCTGCACATTTTAGTCAGGGAGCTTATGACAGTATTCAGATGCTCCATAAATGCAATTAGATACTGTGATAAGAGGCACTAAACAAATGCTAAAATGGGATTAGACTGAAGCTTTATGGCAACTATTTTTATTTTTAAACTAATAAACATTGACAAATTCAGGGATACGGAAAAGCATGACTTGCTTTTCAGTTATCATGTCAGGCCCCGAAACAATTTGCAAAGATGCACAAAACACAACGCTTAAAGATTTAACTACGAGATTTTAACAAAAGAAAAATTTACTGTTGGAGTGCCAACATCGTGAAGTCGTTTATCAGCACTATGCTAAAAGGTCACCTAATACAAATAACCGTAAGACATAATGCTTAAATCTGTGAACTGCTTTATCACCTCTGTTAATGCTGATCCCATTAGTACGCTGCATATTATAGTCAAGCCTTTTTTTATTTATTTTTTTTAACTAACTGTTTGTCAGTCTACATAAGTATCTGAATTTCCACTGAAAAACATGTCTGAGAACAAAAAAGGGGAACACAAAAAACCTAAATTTTGACAATAAAATCACACAGAATGTATGACAGAGAAGTTGGTATGAATATGGATGGTGTCATTTTTGTGTGTTCAGCTTCATATGATTTCCAGTATATATATTTAAATACACATTTTGATAACAGATTCCTTTCATACAAGAAACAGAATCTATATAAAAACTCTGTGGATCTTCAAAATAATAAAAAATAGAACTAATATTGACTGTTAGGATTTAATTAACCTTCCCTTTAATGTGCGCTAGTCACTGGGGAAAAGGGAAAGGGAGAAAGGGATTTGATTTTTCAGGTGTTGGGAACAGAGGGACAAAAAGATTTATTACCCTTACCCGTCTTGACACTGTAGCATTAGATCTTTCTTTGAGCTGAGGATCTGTCAGGAGACTTGTCCAGATGATATAAGGAGTATCATACTTAGCTCTTAGTCTAGGGCATCGTTTGAAGATAAAATCAATAAGGAAAAACTTGATTCCAGCATAGAGTCCTGGAAAAAAGGTCACTTCACTATGCATGTTGAATGGGCATTAAGAACATCATTATTTTGATCATGTTTTAACAAATTCATGAATGAAACCAAATTCTGTACCTTCAGTCATAGTTCTAAATCATTCTCTTGGTTTTAATATTTTCATTCTTCTTTCAAAGACAGGAAATTATTTTTCTTTTCCTCCCCCCGCTCAGATTCCTTCCTCCCCATCCCCAGTTCTTTTAAACCATTTATGTAGCATCTTATTATGCAGAAGAACATTAAAATAATTCAAACATACGTTCCTTATTACCAGAAGCATTCTGAAAACATGATATACTTCCAAAACAGAAAACATGTCAGAGCATTCAACTCTGCAGCTCCTTGCAAGGATTTCAATGGCAACAGAGGGCTCTCATGTACTACATTAAACTATCTTCCAGTCCAGCATGTCCTCTTATCTTATACAAGCTATTTCCTTGCATTCTACCAGATTAAAAAGGGCTTGAAATACTCTCTCAAAACTTTACTGAATGCAATTCAGATCTCCTTCTAAGGGTCAGAGTAAAAAAAATAATCCTTCACACATCTAATTCAATTGCCATGTCAAGCAAACCTATGTTCATGTTAAAGTGAACGCAATTTGAAGTTCACTGCCACTAAAAGTAATACTCATTTGATTATATCATTATTTTGATTAAAAAAAGAGAGAATTCTTGGTTCACAGGATGTGGCTTCACATCTTAGAAAAAAGATGTTCTCACGCTGTAGTGAGAACTCTCTTTTCCCAATTTCCAGTTGAGACTTTAAGAATCTGTAACTTCACCCACAGTAATCTGTTCATTTTGTCCAGCCTATCCTCCAAGTTTTACAAGTAGTCCCATTAACTCTTCTATTTTGTTCCAACCCTATCATCTTCATGCCTTTTATGTGGTCCAACATATCTCATTTGCAAGGATGTATGAGTGAAAAAAACCCAAAATATCGGACCTCCCGGAAGCCTTATAGCTGACAGTCTGAAGAGCTCTAACAGGTCATCACAAACTTCTCCTCTTCAAGGAGTGAATGCATTATCCAGTCTTTTTCTATTATACTATGTATCCAGAGATGGTTTTCAAAATGCACACAACAAATGATGCCAAGCACAATGAAAATACTTCAAAACACTGCATTAATAAATAATGCAGGGTTTTCTTTCTTAAACTCTAAAATTCTCTCTCTAAAGATCACATTAAGTTTCAAAACATTAAGTCTAGACTGTAACAGTTCAATTATTTATTGCATTTACCCATTGCAAGTCCAATAATCCTGTAGGGCAAAAAGCAGGATGCAATAAAAGCTGCCCATAGAGTAATGTAAAGCTTCTGTGTTATTTCTGGCTGGACCCACATGAACAAGCTGAAAACAAAAAAGAAACAAAATTTTATTACGAGTGTTCCAGATATTGGTCAAGTCTTGTTTTAAGAGGAAAAAAAGACTCATGTCAGATAACTTACTTTTTAATTTTTTCCAGTATGTCTGCCATCTTGCCAAAAAGGTTCTGCATAAGAAGCAAGAGAATTAAAACCAAGTCCTGCATTATTCTGGTTTTTTGTCCACATAATAGAAACCAACAGTGTTATCTTACTCTGTTGGTAATAAGCAATTCCCAGAAGTGATTTAACTTATTTTGGGCCATTTATATACTTCACAACTGACTAAATAGAGAACAGAATAGCAGTACTCGGTGACTTCCATCTCATTTAACACCTTGCTCTGTAAGTCATGATTGATTGTTAGAAAAAGCTATTTGACCTCACTGTCACATGGAAAGTGTTTACATGACTGTAAATATTTTAAATTAAGCTGTCAATCTAAGAGTTAAGAGCTTCTGTCAGTAGGTAACAAAATGGGAAGTTTCTTCACACATTTCGAGAACTGAAACTTCAGGGAGCGGTTACTGAGTTCATCAAATGTTGGACTGTTAGCTTTTTTGGAAACACACCACTACCAGGTTTTTATAATACACCCGTGGAGTTACTAGATTCCATGTAATTCCAGCACCTGTTGATGCAAACTGACCCCTGCTCAGGACTGAGGGGGCTATTCAGCTATCTTCTCTGACTGATCCTTCATGTCAGAGCACCTGCAAATTTCATCTTCCCAATAGATTTCCAAAGGTGTTCATATAAACACATGCACTGCCACAGCGTATCCACTTGGCAAGAGAAAGGTAAGCTACTTTCAGCAGCAGCACATCATTAGACATGGCACAAGGCTGCAGTTCAACTGGATGACAGAGTCACTCAGCTGCCAGTGTAGCTCATCAAACTGATGGAGTTGGGAGAAAAATCTTCCTTCACCTTCTTCCACACACGTAGCAGATTTCAGGACATGTGTGGGAGGGGTGTTTAAAACATGCTACTTCAGAGATGCTCTACAGACTGTTGAATTAACATAGCTAAGCAGACAGTAGCCTTCAGCTAAATCTTGAAGGAATAGGGTCTCCTACACCAGTTTTGCAGCTAGTAGATTTGGGATATGGATCCACACTCCAGTGCACTGTTAAGATTTGCCACCTGATCTACATTATCAGAAGCTCATATGCACATATTAGCGGAAAAACTGTCAGAAACTGCTTCTGTTCCCGCCTCCAGACCTCACTCTGAGCTCTGCTCAGAGAACCTCACTCAGTTCTCTGAAGCAGTGTCCCATTTCAGAAGCTCAATGAATCTTACTAAGATCTCTATTGCTTGCAGGTAAAGACCCCCATGCAAGAAAAGCATTGCTTCCAGTGTTTGTTTTCACACGCTGCATAACAGTGTCCTTTGACCACCTGGACTATGAACCTCCTTGTTTCTAAGGAAGCAGTCGGAGAGGTCCAAAAGCAGCACAGTACCTGCGCCTTCTGAGCCACGTCTAGAACAAGCTGAAACTTTTCAGACACGGTCAGGTCCTCTTTTGGGGGTTCCTTGGGCAAGAAACAGACAATCCATTAATTTTCAGCTCAGTTGAAACTGATATTTTACAAAACTCCTCCTAACAAGCAACCGCTCAACATTCTTGGCAATAGTCCTCTCACTTTAAACAGCCTATAAATTTACCAAGTTTGTCCCTTGTTCCAGATCTACTCTTTCTGTCGTGCACTGCCATTGCTGGTTATCTTTAGATCTTGATGCTTTTACTCCATGGTGTATGCAAACACAGTAAGTCCTTGGAGCAGCATGATTACAATGGCTTTCAGTCTATGACCACATGCTTACAGGCCCGTCAGCCTAACTTTGGTTGCCTAGGAAGGTTATGGAGCAGATCATCTTGAATGCAGCACCAGGTGATGAAAGGCAGGTCCTCCTTGACTAACCTGATCTCCTTCTATGACAAGGAGACCTGCTTAGTGGATGAGGGAAAGGCCTTTGACACCGTTTCCCACAGCATTCTCCATCATCTTTGAAAGGTCATGGAGAACAGCAGAGGTGCCTGAGGACTGGAGAAAAGCCCATGTTACTGCAGTCTTCAAAAAGGGCAAGAAGGTTGGACTAGATGATCTCCAAAGGTCCCTTCCAACCCCAACGATTCTGTGATTCTCCTGAAGAAACTGGCTGTTCATGGCTTGGATGGGCGTACGCTTTGCTGGGTAAAAAACTGACTGGATGGCTGAGCCCAAAGAGTGGTGGTGAATGGAGATAAATCCAGTTGGCGGCCGGTCACAACTGGTGTTCCCCAGGGCTCAGTATTGGAGTCATTTCTCTTTAATATCTTTATCAATGATCTGAACGAGGGGATCAAGTGCACCCTCAGTCAGTTTGCAGACGACACCAAGCTGGGTGGGAGTGTTGATCTGCTTGAGGGTAGAAAGGCTCTACAGAGGGATCTGGACAGGCTGGATCGATGGGTCAAGGCCACCTATATGAGGTTCAACAAGGTCAAGTGTTGGGTCCTGCAC